CTCACAGTCACTCATGTTCGCGCCGGAGCCTGAAGAACCTCCTCCTCCTCCGATGACTAAGAGTTCCTCGAAGTCCAAGCATCGGATTTCAGCACAGCTCAGGCGCCACAGGAATTTTTTGCCCTTCTTTTTTGTCTCATAGTTCCCATGAGTGCGGAGTTGGAAGAACCCACAGATTTCAAGGGGAATCATTGTTTTATGTTCCATTAAGGGGGAAAATTGCTTAAGTTAAACTAAAAAAAAAAAGCTTATTTTTACTTAAGATTTTAATTTTATGCTCACGAACATCCTTTCAGATTTGTTCAGACACATACATTGGTCATAACCCTTTTGTGCATTATTTTTAAAGAAAATAAGTGGAAGTTTTCCAGAAACACATTCACGTGCCCTAACTTATGGGAATTGCTTGTCGACTAGGAGTAATCGTGTTTGTTTTGTTTGTTGAATGAATGGAAAGACACCTGGATGTAGCTTCTGTACATGCTGAGTGGGAGTTGAGGTGATAAAACAACCCCGCTCCTCGGACTGCTGCCCTGGCAGGGCGCACATGCACCTCAAGTTCACAGCTGTGGAAGGCAGACCTGTGCCTTAGGTCTGATGGGGACGACACTCTGGTCTCTGCCCACCTCATCCATCGCCCCTGGCCCCAGCGGCCTGTCTGTGGGCTCCAGTCTCCCCCGCCCCAAACTCTCCAAGGGGTCCTCATGGGTGAAATTGAAGACAGACGGACCAGACCGTCTGTCTGCGCAACCAGAAGAAGAATTGAGGAAGTGGCTAACATGTTAATAACCTGGGGGAACAAGTTACTGCCAGTATTCAGCCACTTGGGCTCCATCGTGGCACCTGTGGCTTTCAAGCCAGGGATCCCCGTGCGTCCCCACACCCTGCGCCCACCCTCCCTCGGGACTTGGCCTGTGACCTCCAAGAATAAGAGGAAGAGGTTAGTCAGGGAGACCTGCGTCTGAATGTCACCTCTGCGCGCAACTCACTGATCCCGGAGGGCCTCCCTTCCTGAGGGAAACAAACACCCTCGGTGCCGGTGGGCAGGGCTTCTGTTTTCATTGCTTTTTTACGAGATGGCATGGAAATCTCCCTGGTGACATGTTAGCCTCAGTAAATATCCGTCACATTTCCTCCTCCTCTGAGTTTTAAAAACAGCTTCCGTCAGATTTTGAGGGAGGGGGGGCATTAAAGTTAATAACCAAGTAAGAATTTTTTAAGTTACTTCTAGTTTTAGTAATGGGTATATACAGTAAAACGTTTCCATTCCCCAACTTTCATGTTGCGAGTGAGAAATTAGTATTTTTTCTCCCAGAGGCAGATTTCACCTCTCCAGTACATACTGCTCTCCCCCAGGCATGGGGGAATGGGGCAGTATTAGCTCGAAGACCCCTGAGCCAGCGGTCAGCAGCCTTCCGCTGGCGGACGCAGAGGTCTGCTCTCCGAGGCCCGCTGGGACCCGCACTGTGGGAAACGGCCTGCTGGACCTGGGGGAGCAGTTGCTTTGACCTCACGTGCCAGGTTCTTGTACTGCGTGCAGGGTCTTATTTATTGTTGCTTCTAGAAGCTTCCTAAGTCTGACCTCTTAGCCCTGGCTCTTCTTTTGTGTTTTGGAAATCACTGATTTGAAGCATGTGCTTTCGAATCAAACCTTCGAGCCCCATGCCCTCACTGCCCTGGGCTTACCGATGTGACCACGGGCAGGTTGACTTCGTGAGCTTCAGGTGCTTTGCAGACAGCTGCCTGTGGACGGAGGAACCCGCCCCGCGGACCGCTCCGCTCAGAGAGGGCAGCCTGCGCTCCGTGGTGGCTGTGGCGGTGAATAGTGCTCCCAGGCCACGCCTGTCTGCGGTGCTGGTGACCTCCTTCGTGTCCTCTCCTTCTGTGATTTCCCTCCTGTGGAAACCTCGCCTTTAAAGAATAATGCTGATAATGTGCTGCCACCTGCAGGCTAATGTGGGGAAAGCAGGACATGCAATGTGCTAACTTTCTGCGATTCTGAATATAAAATCTCAAGGTCATCCTGGAGACCCCAAGACCCATGGGGCAGCCCCATGACCCCATTTTCTGAGATATTCTTTTCCCCTGGCACTCTGACTAAATACAGGAATGATACCCTGATCCCTTTAGATTCTTTCTGGAATTGGGCAGCTATGCAGAAAAAGCGCTGTTAGTAACCAGAGACTGAAGTTTCCGGCTTAAGTAGATTTGCAAAAGGCTGTTGATGAAAAAGTATGCGTCTCTGTTATTTAAGCCATGGTTTAGCATCTGAGTTTTGGGGTCTTGGTGTGGGATGGGTGTGTGTGTGTGTCTTGTTCTAGTTGGAGAAGTTAAAAGGTCTAATGAAAACATTAAAGATAAATAATGTTGCCCTGGCTGGTGTGGCTCAGTTGGTTGGGAGTCGTCCCCGGTGCCAAAAGGTTGCTGGTTTGATTCCTGGTCAGGACTATGGTTTGGGGCTTGATCCCCAGGAGGGGGCGTGCAGGAGGCAGCCAATCAATGTTCAGCTTTTACATCAATGTTTTCTCTTTCTCCCTCTTCCTCTCTCTCTAAAAATCAATTTTAAAAAACCTTAAAAAAAAATGTTTACAAGGAACTCTCGTCTGGTTCCTTCTGTGGTGCCTGTGTGATTGCTGCCTGCATGCTTGTGTTCCGTTTTCAGCCTCACACGCTCCGTCACCACAGTGTGAGGGTTAGAGTCAGACTGTACGGTGAGCTGTGCCGGATGCATCTGAAAGCACACGGGGACCCGGATGGATTCTCGCGGCGCCTTGCCTGCAGTGTGACCCGCCCGCAGCGTGACTTGCCCGCGGTTGGAGGCCGCCATGTCACTGGCGGAGAGCAGGGTTGGGCCCAGAAGGCTTGGCGCTGACCTGCAGGGGGATTGGTCCTGACGGAAGGGTTTGTCCTGGGAGTGACAGGATCAGATTTCTGTCATATATCATATATATATATATATATACACACACACACACACACACACACACACACACACACACATATATATATATACACACACACATACACATATATACATATATACATATACATACATACACACACACACACACATATATATATATCACATCACCCAGGCACCCGTCCACGGCTGCTCGGGAACCGGTGGGAGCCTCGCCCCTGACTGCCCTCCCTCCTGGTGGTGTCTGCAGGAGGGGGCTCCCCGGTCTGTGGCCCTCCAGCCTGTGGCTCAGTGGTTCCATGTGCATTGCTGTGATCCGTTAGTGGTTCTGTGAGCATTTTCGTAGCACCGTTCGGTATTGTTATGCTAGCGATTGAGTCATTATAATTAACAGCTACCGCTGTGCAGTTAGCTTACAGTAGGCTGGGGGTAAGTGTCCTTGTGCCTTCTGCCGGTGTACACCATGTGTGTCACTGACTCGCCTCCTCGTGGCCAGCCGCTCGCTCCGCCTGTTGACGTGGTGTTCTTCCTTCTTGCTGGCGGCTGGCCTGTCACCTCCGCGGCCCCGGCTCGGGGCGGCCACACGGCTGCCCTGGAGGAGCTGGCTTTTCCCAGGGACGATGTGGAAGGAGGGGAACTGCCATGGGGTCTGAAGCTCACTGTCCCCAATAACAGCACCTGCTGCTTGGAAGCCTGAGCACACCCATCTGTGACAGAGGGCACCTGTGACAGAGGGTAACTGTGTCGGGGGGTCACTGTGACGGGGGGGGTGACTGTGACGGGGGGGTGACTGTGACGGGGGGGTGACTGTGACGGGGGGGTGACCGTGACGGGGGGGTGACCGTGACGGGGGGGTGACCGTTACGGGGGGGGTGACCGTGACGGGGGGGGGGGTGACCGTGACGGGGGGGGTGACCGTGACGGGGGGGTGTCACCGTGACGGGGGGGGGTCACCGTGACGGGGGGTTGTCACCGTGACGGGGGGGCGGTCACCGTGACGGGGGGTCACTGTGACGGGGTAGAGGTAACTGTGACGGGCTGGGCAGGCGGAATGTGACTCAGCAGTAGGATTAAGGGGCATGAGGAGCTCCGTGAGCTAGATAAATAGTATGAAAATATGGTGCTTTAAAAAACTTAACGTAAAGAAACCATGATGAGCCATGTACTAACGTTTTAAACAAAGACAAGAGCCGGAGCAGCGCTTTGCAAAGCTGTTCTGGAGCCTGTGGCAAAATTTGGGTATTTGCTTCATTGTGGATTCTGAGTTAACTTTGACCTTAGAAATGATTACATTACAGAGTTAAAGTTACAGTGAGTTGGTGCCCCCTTACACTTGGCACCGAAGGTGTGGGCTCCCTGGTGGCGGGTGGAGTGAGGCCGGAGGCAGCCTCCTGGTCTGGTGCCGGATGCCGGACTGGGCTCCTCCCGCAGGCCGGGCAGGCCACTCCGCCCCAGGGCGGCAGGCGCCGCTGCGACTGGGCCTGAAGAATGTGGGGAGTTCACATGGTGCTGGTCTTTTCTCCAAATATGCATGCTAGGGATTGCTGAGGGGCCCTGACTAACACACACACACACACACACACACACGTTAGGTATTGCTAAGGGACCTGGCTAACACACACACACACACACACACACACACACACTCATCATGAGGTGTTTCCCACACCCACTCCCCAGTGGAAGGAAACGGGCCGCATGCCGCGCGGTGCAGTGTGGGTTCCCAGCCAGAGGAAGCTAGAGCCTCTGGGGCACCCCACCCCACCCCCGCTCCCTGAGAATTACTAGTACTGAGAGTCACTGTAGAATGCAAGCCTCGTCAAGATTTCATTCCTGGCCTTGCCCCTCCTCTGCTTATCGTGATGGGGACATGAGCAGGAACTGAGCAAATGCTGTGTTTTCTACATTCCAACACTGGCAGAGTCGAAGCTGGTGGTTTTCAGTGGTTAGCGCCCAGTCTCCTGTTTGATGGTGGGTCCACCCTCATGGGCTTGATGCTGGCTGGGGTCGGGGGTCGGGCGTACAGGAAGACTGTGCTTAGCCTGCATGTCTTACAGCCTTTCTTTGTAATCCCGACAAGGCCTGCTGAGAACAGACCCAGTGCCCGAGGCTGGGGAGGATGCTGCTGCCACGATCAGTGTCACGGAGACCCTGTCCGAGGAGGAGCAGGAAGAGCTGAGGAGCGAGCTCACCAAGGTACGGGAGTGCCCTCCGGAGCCTGCTGCTCTGCGCTCAGAATGAAGCCCGCTTGGTGGCATCTTGCAGTCAGCTCTCAGGGAGAGAACGCAGCGGGTGCTCAGAGTGGGAAGAGCAGGCAGGACAGAGAATCACTTGGTTTTTGCACGAGTGAAGGTGTATTTGGGTTAAGTGGGTCTGGGAAGGAGGGTGATGAGGAAGTGGATGAGACGGGTCTTCCTACGATTAATACCCTTGGCTTTCTGTCTGCATCCCTGACTTTGTTTTACCCTGGGCTGTGGTTTGAATATAAGCACCTTTGAACCTGCTCTCTTTCTCTCTCTCAAAATTAACCATTTATAGTGTCCAGCTCAGTGGTGTTAGCACAGCCATAATGTTGTGCAACTGCCCCTTCTGTCTAGTTTTAAGCTTTTCCAACACCCCCAGAGGAGCCCACAGTCATTAAGCGGCACCCTCAGTGCTCCTCAGCCCCTGCTAATCTGTTTCTGTGGATCAACCTGTTCTGGATATTTCACAGAAATAGAATTTTTCGACACATGACCTTGTCCCTGGTTTCTTTCATTCAGCTTGTTGGTGGGGTCCTCCTCCTGACGCATGTTGGTCTTCACTGCTTTTCATGACGGAATGATAGTCTGAATCTACTGTATTTTGCTTACCCATCCATCCACCCATGGACATTGGGTGTTTCCATCTTTTGACTCATAGATACTGAGGAGCACTGTGTAAAAGGATTGTCTGCATGCCTAATCCCAATGCCGTTAGCTATAGGCTTGGAGATGCTGTGCCATATGGTTATTCCACAGGACTCTTTGGGCAGCCATCAGACTGTTATCCGCAGCAGGGACACCATTTCTCATGCATCCTTGCGGCCAGCGTTTGCCATTTTCTCTTTTTTATTATAACCGTCCTAGAGGATATTAAGTGATACCTCGTTGTGATTTTGATGCTGTTTACTAGTGACCAATGCTATTGAGCCTCTTTTCTTGTGCTTACTAGCCATTTGCATATATTCTTTAAAGAAATGTATATTCTAATCCTTTGCCCAGTTTTTCAAAAACTTCTTTTGGTCTTTTTGTTGTTGAGATAAGAGCTCTCTGAGATTTACAACTAAGTGTGTGATTTTCAGATTTTCTCCCCTTCTATGTGTTGCCTTTTTCTTTATCATGTCTTATTGCACTAAAGTTCCACATTGTGATGAAGTCCAGCTTATTTCCTCTTTAATTGCTTGTGCTTCTGGTGTTATATCTAAGAACTTATTTCCAAAACTCTGATCATGAACACCTAACCCTGTGTTCTCTTCTGAGACTCTCGGAGCGTATAGTTAAGCCTTTGATCTATTTTGAGTTAATTCCCACTTATGGTTTGTTGGCGTACAGTTGCTTGTAGTACTATTCTCTCTTAACCTGCAAGGTCAGTAGTGATGTTTCCACTTTCATTTCTGATTTTAGGTATTGGTGACTTCACTTTTATTTGTTGTCATTCCAGCTAAAGACTTGTCAATGGGTTCCTTGATCTTCTCTGTTATCTGTTCTCTGTTTCATTTGCCTTCACTTATATCTTTATTACTCCCTTCCTTCTCTTAGCTCTGGGTTGAGTTTTCTTTTCTTTTTTAGTTCCTTAAGGTATGCTGTCACATTGATTTGAGATCTCGCTGTTTCCTAAATGTAGGCCCTTAGAGCTGTCAGGTTCCCTTGGCGCACCCCTTTCACTGCGCCCATAAGTCTTGTGTTGTCCATCTGAACCTAGATAAGATGGACAGGCTCCTAAAAACACATAAATGATCATAACTGACCCTCCAAAAAATAGAAAATCTGAACAGACCCACAATATGTAAAGAGATGATATCAGTAATGGTCTTGTACTTTTTGGGAAGATTTTTGATTATTGATATAATCTCTTTACATGTTGTGGGCCTGATCAGATTTTCTATTTTTTGGAGTCAAACACCTCCTCATACCAGGCACCTCACTGGTTGCTGGCCCCACCGGAGGGGGGGGCGGGGGAGGAGAGGAGGGGGTAATGGGGACAGAGAGGGAGGGGCGATGGCTGTCCTTGGAGCCCGGCCCAATTCCCACCACCTCCCTAAGGTGGGTCAGTCAGCACCAGGCCCACAGGGACTTCCATGGGTCCCAGCTGCTCAGGGAGACAGATTTCTTTATGACTGTGGCTTTGGCAGGCACTAGGGCTGATGTTTTCGATACAAAGCAGATGGTGTATGCAGAGGTTGGATTTTGTGCCTGTTTTGGTGGGATCTGGAGATTAGCTTGAGTTAGTATGCAAATACCGGATTTTATGGGCATTCGAGTAGAAATGTCCAGCAAGTCATGTGGGCCAGAGATCAGGCGGGAATATTACCTGGTAGAGGTTTGAGTCCTGAGCCTGTGAAACAGGTGAGTAAGGACGTACAGGGACAGGGGAGAGGGTGGGGCAGCGGAGGAACCCGCCATGTGGAAATATTCGGAGTGGAAAGAGAAGCCTCACCGGAGAGATGAGCACATCACCAGCTTATTAACAGCATATCCTCTGTTATCTAGGAAGAGACAGATACAGTGGATCAAACAACGTTTCAGAGTGACCTGAGAATGCTGAGCATAGTTTTGCACTAACAATCTTAACTCACCAAATGACCTTGCTGTGTTCTCACCCCCACCTCTTGCTGCAGGTGGAAGAGGAGATCCAGACTCTGTCTCAGGTGCTGGCCGCGAAGGAGAAGCACCTGGCGGAGATCAAGCGGAAGCTGGGCATCAGCTCCCTCCAGGAGCTCCGGCAGAACATCGCCAAAGGGTGGCAGGATGTGACGGCGACGCCTGCGTAGGTCCCCGGACCACTCGCTGGTCTAGAGAGTTAGAGGGCGCCTTCCTCCTGTTGTCTGGGGAGGGCTGGGAAGGCAGTGAGGACGAGGCTGCAGGTTTTTTTTTGTACTAAGCCGGTCACTTTCCTCTAACTCTCAAGCATACTCACTCTCCTGTGACTTTGGCCTTCCAGACTGTTGAAGGGACTAGAAAGAAAACCAGCCTCAACATGAGCCGAGGAAATACCATTTAAGTTCCTAAAGTGCTCTGTGTGGACTTGCCAGACCCGCACAGAGTAACGGGACGGAGTGGGCTGTGAGAGAACCCGAGACCAGGAGGTGGGCCCAGGGCAGTTTGAGTCACATACCGATCAGCAAGGGGGGCAGGATCCTTCTGCCCTCCTCTCTATTCCCAGGAGACTTTGCAGTCACCACCTCTGACACGTGCTGGCGGCAGAGCCCACCCCTTCATCTTTCAGTCATTTCGATCACATGATGCACATTATTTCCCACATGAGGAGCACAAGTCTAGCAATAGATTCCGAACTGTGCCCTCTGCCGCCTGCATTCAGTCCCATCTGCTGAGCTGGGGACCCGCCTCAGCGAGGCCCGCTGACCTGACATGACTGCACCAGGGTGCCCACCCCGGGGCCCCCTTTCCACCCGGACTTGGTGGCAGTGGGTAGACACGCAGGAAACTGACATTGCGTTGGTTTTCTGACTGCGAAAGGGTCGATCTTTCCTATTATGTGGGTTCTGGGCCCTTTGCCGTGGGTCTCTATCCTTTTGTTTGGTTGATGTTTCCCCTTTGCTAGTCCCCGGGGAGATGAGAGAGGGAGGCAGTGAGTCAGACCTTCGTGTCCCAGCCAACAGCACAGCCAGGTGTCACGGTTATTCTGAATATCAGACCTGGAGGGTCCCTGTGCAGCGTCCGCCAGCCCTATCTGGTGGCTCTGCAGGGCAGCGTTCTGATATTCTTCCTGCTCATTTGGCGCATCTGGGTGATGACGTGCACGTGGGCCGGCCTTGCTCTGGCCCCTTGCTGGGAGGAGCTTGTAGAGGGGTGTGAGGAATTGGACTTCATCTTTGTTCTGTTTGCTCACCTGGCAAAGGCGAGGGTTAGAGAAGTCCTTTCTTCCAGCCTCCGGCGCACTGTCACTGTTGCTCCGGGAATTCCTTTAGCCCTCACCCTAATCGAAGGCCCTTCCCAGGCTTCTGTCCTCTGGCTGTCCGGGCAGCGCAGAAGGCTGTGTCCGAGTGATGGTTAGGATTTGGATGCCGTGATGAGGCCGACCCGGTGGCTGGGAAGGATTTGAGATGATCTAGAAATGGAGGTTAGCTTCCTGTTCTTTGATCTGTTCTGTTCCAATTCCACACAGATACAAAAAGACATCTGAAACCTTGTCTCAAGCCGGACAGAAGGCATCGGCTGCTTTTGCATCGGTGGGATCGGTCATCACCAAGAAGCTGGAAGATGTCAAGTAGGTCCCGTTTTCCCTGGCTCGTTCTGTGGCTGAGGCGGGTGGCAGTGTGCTGTGCTCGCCTCAGTGCTCGGCTCTGGTTCCTGGTGACCCTGGATTCCAGTTAGGGCAGTAGCACGCCTACAAACCAGGGCCTGCAGGTCCCCTGGGCCTGGCCCTCTAACCTCTAGGTATAGTGTTCACAGTAACCACCTGTGAGTTCATTTAAGGTTCTGGAACAATTCTGGTTGTGAACTTTTGTCCTTTGAGTCCTTCCTGATCACGTGGAGTTAGCACGCCCCTTGTATGCAAGTTGTAGTTGTGGGCCGAGCCTGGTGTCTCCCTGGGGGTGAGTCCGGGAGCACCACAGTGCATGCGTGGCCTGAGACCTGCCTTGCCTCTCCGAGGTGCGTTCTCACACAACGGAGACACGTAACACTCACGTGTGCCCCGCTGTGCACTCGTTTATAAGCCGTATCTGCTCCTGCTTACGCCCAAATCTTAATTTTGCACGGTTGCTTTTTGATTTGCACTTCTGTTTCAGTTGAGTGTGCAGAATTTTCCTGGCCATGCTGACAAACCCGCTTCCCGTGTGTGCCCCCACCACGGGGGTCAGAGGAGCACTGGGAAGGATGGATGTGGCTTGAATTGGCTGCGCTTCTGTTGGCATGAAAGATTTGTTTTAAAAACAAAACCCTTAGATTGCATGACTCTCTGCTTTTCATTTGTGGGGAAAGATTTTACAACCAGAATTTTGTTGGCTGAACAACGTTGGCGATCCGGGTATTAGCCTTTGTGCACAGAACGCCAAAGAGCTTGCTCTTTGTGTCTGTTCTCCGCCGTCCTGAGCGAAAGGCAGTGAGCGCAGCGTCCTTCACCCGCTCACGATGGCGGGCCCTCACGCGCTCAGCTCCTGTCGCGCTGACTCGGCTGGGTGGCGTTTCAGAATCCCGCTCAAACCTAACTTTGGAGAAGGGGTGACTTAATTGTTTTAGATTTACCCGAACTTGCTTTCTTTTTTACTGCTGGCTCTGGCTTCTTGCAGATTGCAAGCCTTTTCCCACTCCTTTAGGTAAGGGGCATCCGCGCGGTCAGGTGGCCCAGCCCTCTGGCCGTGTGCTGCCTTAGGTTGTGGTGCCCATTCGATGGTCGTGTTCGTCCGCTGCCTGACTTTCTTGTTTGGAACACTTTTCTCTCCGGTGCTGTTCCTGTTTGTAAGGGAGGGTTTCTGGTAGACCATGGGAAACGAGTCCATGAAAGGACTGTTTGACGTGTGGTTTAAGGGCTGTGCATATGATTTTGCCATTTCTTTTTTACTTTCATTTTTTAAAGAAACATCTCTGCCATGGCGTGCAGAATCCCTCCCTTCTCACGTGTGACTCTGTGTGTGCGGTGCTTTCCTTTCTTGGTGCCCTCGTCAGGATGTGTCTGCCTGCTCCCACGTGCACTCATGCCGGCCCGGCTCACACTGGCAGTCTGTCTCCTACAGTGTACCCGAGTGTCTTTTATGCATGTGGCAAACTCTACATACGATAACATGTGTGTATGGTAAAACACACGTGAGATAAAATGTACTAATACTCTGCACTTTTTAGTACCTGTTTAACTAGCTTAAACTTTTTACTATTTATTGTTTCTTTCCCGTCATTATATTCTTTGTGCACTCAGGGACGTTTCCCGGGCGTTAAAGGGAAGTAAAGTCCCTTGCACCAAAAGGGAAAGAAAGCCCATCAGAGACGTCAGGCCTGATGGTGCCTTCCAGAAGGAGCCATCCCGTGCAGATGGCTGAGCGTTAGGCAGGAGGCCAGGTGGAGGGTCTCCAGAGAGCAGGCGGAGGCTGAGTGGTTGCCATCTCGGCCCTGCCATGCAAACGTCTTCTCCGTCACTCGCTATCCAGCTATTTGTCTTCTTCCAGGCGTCTTCAAACTACGGCCCGCGGGCCACATGCGGCCCGCAGAGGAGTCTGATCAGGCCCGCCAGGTTTTTTGGGCAGTGAGCACAGCCGAGGTGTTACAGTAGGAATTAGTAGTTCATATAGTCCGGCCCTCCAGCTCTCTGAGGGACCGTGATCTGGCCCCCACTTTAAAAAAGTTTGAGGACCCCTGTAAGCAAACGGGGACTTATGGCCGAGGCCCTTCTCTCCTAGGGACACAGTCCTGCAGGTCAGAGTAAATGACGAGGATAAATGAAGTCTAAATATTGAACCATCTAAAGCTAAAATTATGCTTTAAAAAAGGAAGAAGTCGGTGACAGGAGGGGATTCTGTATCTCCAGTGTTGAATTAAAAATGGTCTAAGTGATAGAGACTGAAAAAAAAATACTACAAAAAGTCATTGAAACCAAGAATTGACTCTTTGAAAGGATAAACAAGATTGATGAACAATTAGCCAAACTCACCAAGAAACAGAGAGGACACAAATAAACAAAATCAGAAACGGAAGTGGAGAAGTAACCGCTGACACCACAGAAATACAAAGGATTGTAAGAAAATTCTGTGAACCATATATGCCAACAAACTGGACTATGTGGATGAAATGGAAAAATTCCTAGAAAAATACAATTTTCCAAAACTCATTAAGGAAGAATCAGAAAATCTGAATAGGCCAGTAACAACTGATGAAATAGAAGCAGTAATAAAAAAACTCTCAGCAATAAAAGCCCGGTCTAGATGGCTTCACACGAGAGTTTTACCAAACATTCAAAGAACAAACACCTGTCCTCCTCAAACTATTCCAAACAAAAAAACCCAAGAGGAAGGAACACTTCTAAGCTCTTTTTATGAGGCTAGCATTATCCTAATTCTAAAACCAGTTAAAGACACTACACAATAAGAGAATACAAGGCCAATATACCTGATGAACATAGATGCTAAAATCGTCAACACAATTTAACAAATTGTGTCCAGCATTGCATTAAAAAGATCATTCACCATGACCAGTGGGATTTATTCCAGAGATGCAAGACTGGTGCAATACCCAGAAATCAATAAACATGATACATCACATAAATGAATGGAAAGACAAAAGTCACATGATCATATCAAAAGAAGCAAAAAAAGCATTTGACAAAATCCAATATCCATTTTTGATAAAAACTCTCAGCAAAGTGGGAATAGAGGAAATATATCTCAACATGATAAAGGCCACATATGACAAACCTACAGCCAACATCACACTGAATGGGCAAAAACTAAAGCCATTTTCCCTCAGAACAGGAGCAAGACAGGGATGTCCACTTTCACCACTCCTGTTCTACATAGCACTGGAAGTCCTAGCCACAGCAATCAGATAAGAAGAAGAAATAAAATTAATCCAAATTGGAAAGGAGGAAGTAAAACTCAATATTCCCAGATGACATGATATTGTACATAGAAAACCCTAAAGACTCCATAAAAAAAACTACTAGACTTAAAGAATTTGGCAATGTAGCAGGATACAAAATTAACACCCAAAAATCTAAGGCTTTTTTATACATTAATAATGAATTCTCAGAAAGAGAAACTAAGAAACAATTCCTTTTATTATTGCAACAAAAAAAATTAAGATACTTAGAAATAAATTTAACCAAGGAGGTAAAAGACTTGTACTTGGAAAACTATACGACATTGTAAAAAGAGATAGAGGGAGATATAAACAAGTAGAAGAGTATACTTTGCTCATGGATTGGTTGAATTAACATAATTAACATGTCCATACTATGCAAGGAAATCTATAGATTCAATGCAATCCCTATTAAAATACCAACAGCATATTTCACAGATTTAAATAAAATATTCCCCCCCAAAATTTTTTGGAACCCCCCCCAAGAAACAAACAACAACAACAACAACAAACACCCTGAATAGCTGCAGCAATCTTGAGAAAGAGGAACAAAGTTGGAGGAATTACAATACCAGATATCAAGTTATACTGCAAAGCCACTGTAATCCAAACAGCCTGGTATTGGCACAAGAACAGGAATATAGGACAGTGAACAGAAGAGAGAAGACTCCAGGAACCGACCCAAACCATTACACTCAATATTTGACAAAGGAGGCAAGAGCATACAATGGAGTCAAGACAGTCTCTTCAGTAAATGGTGTTGGGAAAATTGTACAGATACATGTAAAAAATAAAACCAGACAGTCCCTAGGACAATGGAAACTAAAAAGAAAAACAAATGGGACTATATAAAAATAAAAAGCTTCTGTATAGCAAAAGAAACCATTAACAAAACAAGGAAGCTCACTGCATGGGAGAGCATACACTGAGTGGCCAGTTTATTATGATCTCTGAATGCATAATAATCTGGCCACTCAGTGTATATATGTATATATCTATATCTATATCTATCTCTATATCTATATCTATATCTATATCTATATCTATATCTATATCTACAATATATCTATATCTATATCTATATCTATATCTATATCTATATCTATATCTACAATATATCTATATCTATATCTATATCTATATCTACAATATATCTATATCTATATCTATCTATCTATTAGAGGCCCGGTGCATAAATTCATGCATGGGTAGGGTCCGGTCAGCCTGGCCAGGGGTAGGGGACATGGGCAGTTGGCTGGCCTGCCTGCTGGTCAAACTCCTGGTTGAGGGGACAGTTTGCATATTAGCCTTTTATTATATAGGATATACACTGAGTGGCCAGATTATTATGCGTTCAAAGATCATAATGATCTGGCCACTCAGTGTATTTGCCAATGTTACATCCAATAAGGGTTTAATCTCCAAAATTTATAGGGAACTCATACAACTTAACAAAAGGAAGATACACAATCCAATAAAAAAAATGGGCTAGACACTTCTCAAAAGCAGACATACAGATGGCCAAGAGACATATGAAAACATGCTCAAAGTCACTGATCATCAGAGGATGCAAATCAAAATGACAGTGAGATTCTATCTCACACCTCAGAATGGCTATCATCAACAAATCAACAGACAACAAGTGCTGGTGAGGATGTGGAGAAAAAGGACATACAGATGGCCAAGAGACATGAGAAAAGGCTCCGAGTTACTGATGTATGCAGTAGTAAAAAAGAAGACTCTCTTACCTTGTGAGACAGCATGAGGGACCTGGAGAGCATCATGATACTAGGTGAAATAAGCCAGTTAGAAAAAGAAAAGTATATCATGATCTCACTCTTATGTGGAATCTAAGTCACACAATAAACGGGTGAGCCAGAGGCATGGAAGCATGGAGCAGATGTGGAATCTCAGAGGGAAGGTGGGGAGGGCCTGTGGGTGGGTGGTAATAATCAACCAAAGACCTTGTATGCATTTATACATACCCCATGGACACAGACAATAGGGTGGTGAAGGCCTGGGGGGCAGGAGCTAGGTGGGGGCGAGGCTAGAGGGTGCCAGTGGGGGAGGACATGTGTAATATTTTCAATAATAAAGATTTTTTTAAAAATGGTCTTAAGTGCTCCAGGTAGCTGTTTCAACAGCTTTATCTGAAGCTATGTGAGTCCTAATACATATTCACTCCCATCATCCATCCTGCAAACATCCAAGTGGCTGTTGGGGGCAGGTCCAGATCACAGCCACTCACCCATCGTGGTTCCTTTGGGGGAGACACAAACATAGTGGGGGGAGGGGGGAGCGGGGAGGAGAGTGGGCCTGGCAGGGAGCTGGGCCTGGAGAGCTCGGTTCCTACCTGGTACACAGTGCTCGGTGTGATCTGAATACAGACCTGAAAGATGTGGCTGTGGAGAAAGGGTTTCGTCAGGGTGAGCACTGCCCTCGCTCTCCCTTTGGAAGAGCCAGCAAATGCGCGAGGCGGAGCCTCAGTGCTTCCCGGAAAGGCACCCACCGGGTGTCCCTGCTCCTCCAACGCCATCACAACCCCTTCTTGCATCTTTAAGAAACTGTTCCTGAACCATGTGCTCCTCCATTGCCAGCCCTGTTTTTAATAACCCATTGCAGAAAGGCTTTTGGTGAAAACTTGGAAATGAGAGAAATAAGATTATCTTTTGAAAGCTAAATTTGATAATTCTTACAAATTAAAACTTGGGGAAAGTTATTTAAAAAATAATTTCTAGTCCAAGAAGTCCTGATTGTAATCGGATTTAATGTGTTCATCCATAATAGAAAACATACCTAACAGGAGACATATGTAAAGAAAACCACATCTTTTATTTTTTAAATATGTTTGTATTGATTTCAGAGAGGAAGGGAGAGGGAGAGAGATAGAAACATCAACGATAAGAGAGAATCATTGATTGACTGCCTCCTGCACGCCCCCTACTGGGGATCGAGCCCGCAACCAAGGCATGTATCCTTGACCAGAATCGAACCCGGGACCCTTTGGTCCGCAGGCCACTGCTTACCCACTGAACCAAACGGTTAGGGCAAAACCACATCTTTTAAATCAGTGAGTCGCAGAGGCAAACACAGGCCATGTGCCCTGAGGACCTGCAGGGAGAGGGAGCTGGGTATTCTCACTCCCAGCAGCAGGCGTTTTCTGCACGTAGCCCTGGGCATGGCCGGCTAATCCTGTTAAGTCCCCTTTGTTCTGGCTTCCTGCTCACCCAGAGGACAGGGGCAGGCATCTCAGTCTGCAGGAATTGTGGGTATTCTGCTGAGTGGGATTGTTAGGCTCAGCAGCAGTTTTTATTTTAGTATGTCGTCAATCAATACATTAGCATTTGGGATTTGGATTCTGACTTAAGCCTCTAGCGGGTGTGCGAGGAGGAGGTGGGGAAGGAGGAGGGATCTGTCTGTGACGCCCTGAGAGGCAGGTGCAGTGCGTGTGGGAAGCGGAAGGAGTGTTAGCCTAGAGGCCCTCTGGGGACAGCCAGCTTTCCCCGGGGGCGTGTTCACATCCAGCCTCTCATTTGCTTACCTTCTACATATATGTGCTCAGCACTCTTGCTTTAATGTTTTGAGAAAAAAAACAAAAAACATTAAACCACCCCTTGGTTCTGGTGTTGAACACCGATGTTAGAGTTATTAATCTACCACTGACCAACAGCGGCTGAGTGTCCTGATCACAGCCTCTCTGGAGGAGAATCCCAATCATCTTTTTTCAGTCCAAACAGTTTGAAGATCACCAGGAGGTTAGCTGTGGTCCAGGTGTCGTGTGACGCTGGCTGGAGTGCCAGTGGCAGTGTGGCTGTAGGCAGCTTTTTTAGGGTCCCAAGAAGGGTCAGTAACGTCTGGAGTCCTTGTACTGCGTTGATTTTTAATAATTTCCATCCTTCACATGTGGATCCAACATCAAGCAGGCAAAGGATTAGCAGATTTCTCTCAGAATAGATTCCCACTGTTCTAGGACAGAGAGAATGCTGGACTGTGTGCATCCTTTCCTGTGTTATGAAGACATTAATTCTGAAGATGTCCACGTGATTGGTTTACTTGTTACCTTGACTACACCAGCTGCCAGCATATCTTGATTTATATCAACATCATATTTCATATTATTACATATTAATGCAAAGCTAGATTTGAGGAGCTGCACTGGAAACACGTTGTCACCTGTAAAGCTGAGTCTTTGGGAAAATTAAATCGGCACACACAATTTTTAAAAAGAATGGAGAATTAGCCCTGACTGATTTGACTCAGTGGATAGAGTGTCGGCCTGCGGACTGAGGAGTCCCAGGTTCAATTCCAGTCAAGGGCATGTACTTTGGTTGCAGGCACATCCCCAGTAGGGGGTGTATAGGAGGGAGCTGATCGATGTTTCTCTCTCAATGTTTCTATTGTAACTCTCTATCCCTCTCCCTTCCTCTCTGTAAAAAATCAATAAAATATATATATTTTTAAAAAGGATAGAGAATTAATACCTTAAATTGTCCAATTTACCCAGAGGAAATTATTTACCAAAAATGCTGTCAGAGTGTTTGTTCTAAGCCAAGTAACAGCATCCACGGGACTCAGAGACTGTGGGCCCAGGGAAGGCCATCCGGTGAGGTAGCCTCTGTGGGATGCGGCTGAGAGGAGGCGACCGTGACCCTGAGCCGACAGTGAACGCATTGCCCTTGAGTAAGAAGGTGGTCCTACTCAAACAGGGGCCAAATGTTATTTGAATGACCATTAAGAACATTTCATTTAGCCGAAACTGGTTTGGCTCAGCGGTCAAGTGTTGGTCTGCGGACTGAAGGGTCCCAGGTTTGATTCCGGTCAAGGGAATGTACATTGGTTGCGGGCACATCCCTGGTAGGGGGTGTGCAGGAGGCGGTTGGTCGATGTTTCTCTCTCATTGACATTTCTAGCTCTCTATCTCTCTCCCTTCCTTTCTGTAAAAAATCAATAATATATATATATATATATATATATATATATATATATATATATATATATTTTAAAAAGAACATTTTCATTTAATTGGTAAGAAATACAAGTGTCTCTTACTAGAAAACTGATATGACTACTACCAAGGAAGCATATGTAAATCACTTAACATTACCCAATAGGCGATTTGCTTTGAACTTTCCTATTCTGGTGACAAATATGTGGGAGAAAGATGGTCAAGGAGCCCTCCCTGGCCTGGCTTGTACACATACCTGTGTGTGTGTGCACTGATTTTTGAGGGGAGGTGGTGAACATTAAATTGGGAGTCCCAAAGACCTGGGTTTTACTTTTATTTTTTATTGATTTCAGAGAGGAAGGGAGAGAGAGATAGAAACATCAATGATGATATAGAATAATTGTTCGGCTGCCTCCTGCACGCTCTCTACTGAGGATTGCTCCTGCAATTGGACATGAGCCCTGACCGGGAATCCAGCTATGACCTCCTTGTTCATAGGTCAATGCTCAACCACTGAGCCAAACCGCCTGGGCCATCTGGGTCTCATTCTGGTTTCTGCCGTAACCTTTGGCGAATCATTTACTCCTGAGCCGGGTGCTTGACGCCCAGCGGATCCAGGTGGAAACGGTTTCCACGTGTTATAAACATGAAGAGTGAACTGCTGGCTGTTAACTGCTGGCTCAGGAGTACAAGTACACGTTAGAGTGACTTTGACCCCCTCCACCTCAGAAAGTAGATAATTCTTCTTTTTTTAAAATATATTTTATTGATTTTTTACAGAGAGGAAGAGAGAAAGATAGAGAGTTAGAAACATCAATCAGCTGCCTCTTGCACATCCCCTACTGGGGATGTGCCTCAACCAAGGTACATGCCCTTGACTGGAATCGAACCCGGAACCTTTCAGTCTGCAGGCTGACACACTATCCACTGAGCCAAACCGGTTTCGGCAAAAGTAGATAATTCTTTACAGTGCCAAAGGAACATGCTTCTAAGAGCAGACTTCTGTTTATTTTATCCTGTCTCATGACCGGTGTACTAACTTCCTTTTTCTCTTTTTAATGCTGCCTTAGTATTCGCTCCATTCAGCATTCAATTAGCATGCCTGCTATGAGGTAAAGTATATTTTTACAAAGTGTTGTTGGTCTCCTGCTTTCTTAGCCTTTGTTGAGTTGATCACCAGGAACTTTCTGAAGTAAAAGTCAGAATTCTCCCTAAACAAGCTGCTGCTTTAGGCTCTGGATCAGTTTTCAGCTGCTCCTCCTATCATGATAGGATGGGTATGAGAGCTCCATTAAATGCTGTGCTTTCTTTAAAAAAAAAAAAAATAATAATAATAAAAAAAAATACACACACACACTAAGACAGTGTCATATTAATTTTTTCTCCCAAAGTTGCACTAGGTCTTATTTTCAGGGGATGTCTTATCTTTCCACGTGCTAGGTCTTATTTTCGGAGGATGTCTTATTTTCGGGGAAACACGGTATTTGTTTTATTTTGTAAAACTATTGTTTTATATCTGAAATCTGTTTCATTGAAAATATGACCACGGCTTTTCAAATAAACCCTTTCTTCTCACGAACGCCAGTGCCGGACCTCTGTCCACCGTACCTTAGTCACACTCTCCCTTCTCCACCCTCCGATTCCAAGTCCCTCAACCCACGGGGACATTGGGAGCCGCCCGTGACCTGATTCTGTCCTCCTTCATCGGGATGCCCTTGCAAATCCTACATGTTAGGGCCTCACCTGCCTCTCCAGAGAGGCAGCCTGTTTGGCTTAACTGTCAGTGGGCACAGAACCACCTGGAGGGCTTGTGAAGGCCTCTGCTTGCCACCCCCTAGAGTTTCTGACTGTCCGCCTAGGGTGGGACCTGAGAATCCGCATTGTGAGCAGGCTGCCTAGAGCTACTGATGCAGCTGGTCTGGGACCACACTTTGGACTGGCTGCCCATTGCCGCTGTGGATGGAGGAGGGCCCTGTCCCCTCCCTCACCTTCATCTCGGTAGCAGGAAGGTTATTCGAGTTGGGTGGATAGTAAATGGCAGCCATCTGATGAGAGGGACCAAGGCACTGCGATGCCCTGGAGGAATGTGGATGGGCATGAAGGCGTGGGAGGGGCTTTCCGTGGGCACAGAGCTTCTGCCCGGGGCAGCTCTGTGAAGAGGCCAAGCCAGGTTTCTGGGCTCCTTCCCGGTCCATTATGAAGCTGATCCCTGGTACAGGACCGCCTCCGGTTGGCCTGTCCTGCTTGATGATGTGGATTCACACAGGAGTCGTGCCAGGCAATGTGTGGACTTAAACACGAGTTCTAGAGCATGGTGCCTTAGCCAGACTGTGACCCAGCAGGGACAGCTGGTTGGGGAAGTGACAGAGCAGGTGTGTTACCTGGCTTGTTTTGTCATCGCACATGCACTTGATTTATCTCCATTGATATGTCTTAGGCTGGCTTTGCTCCTGGGCAAAGGCCTCACTGTAGAAATCTTAGAATAGAAGCGGACAGTTTCCACCTGTGGGGGGCCTGCACACCTGTGGCACCCAAGATAGCTGTTCTTCTGCCGAGAGTAATGGCTACGAGGAGTACAGTCAACTAATGATGTTTTCAAAATGTGTCGCTTTCTTTGTTTATTATATATATATATTTTTCTCTCCTTAGAAACTCCCCGACTTTCAAATCATTTGAAGAGAAAGTTGAAAACTTAAAGGCAAGTAGAGAGGTGAACATGGTTTTTTTGTTATCTTTTTGTTTGTTTGTTTGTTTTGTTTTCTTGCTTGCTGCCTGAACTCTTTGGTGTGGGTAGATTACTATTTTTAAAATATTTAAAAATCTTTAATAACTTTATTATTTACATGATTAATATATGTAAGATGATCAGTTTTAATCAGTGTTCTGAATGTTTTGAGTATTTGATGTAGCATGGTAGCATCCTGAATGCAGAAAAGAAATGTGTAATTTCTCAGTCCGATAAGTTTGTGTTTCCTGATACCTCTTCCTTTTTGAACTTCTTAAAAAGTCTAAAGTAGGGGGGCCCAAGCCTGCCGGAGGCGATTTCGGGGACGTCTTGAACTCGACTGCCAGTGCCACGGCCACAGAGCCTCATCCGGAGCAGACGCGGGCGGGCCCGTGAGGTGCTGCTGCCTGTCCCACCACTGCCAGCTGCTGCCAGCGAGACCCAAGCACATCCTGTCAGCGTTCATCGCCGTGATCCCACCCACGTGCTTTCGTTTAGCCTTGTGTATTCCTTTGACTAAGTAGTCTGTGGGTTAAACAAAATAAAATATCTTCACCTCAGCCCCTGGGAAACCCCCTTCACTGTGCCTTCAGGCCCGTGACGTAGGAAGACCGTTACACAAACACGGTGGTACCCGGGCCTCGCTAGGATGCTGGGAGGAGAGGCAGGCTGTCAGCATGGCTTTCCTGCTTTCCCAAATCGCTCTGGATCTGGGGTGCCAGTTTGGTCTTTGTCTTCTAAATGATTTTCTTTTCCTCCTCCTTCAAGCCTCTGTATGTTTGATTTCTGACTAAAATTGTTCCTTTAAGTTTTCTGAATCCTGGTTATTAAAAGTCTTGGCATAATTTCCTTCACCTCCAAGGGGAGAACTACCAGCTGCAGACATTGTGGAGTAGACATTGTTTGGGTGTGAGGTTATCTTATATCTTGGGTGTCTGAAGACAGAAGATGAAGTACATCAGCTCTATATCCCACTAGTTATCTATATATAGAAAAGCCCAAGCAACCGTTACAACCAAACAACCAAAACTACCGGTCAACCAGTCATACGACACGCACTGACCACCAGGGGGCAGACACTCAACACAGGAGCTGCCCTCTGGTGGTCAGTGTGCTCCCACAGCCGGCCAACCTCCTGTGGTCCCTCCATGTGGCTGGCCAACCTCCCGAGGTCCCTCCTCCTGTCCCTCCCTCCTGCCAGCAAGCCCCAGTTGGCCAGCCCCAATTGGGACTGGGCAAGATGGCCTCAATCATGGAGACCATGATTGCTGGCCAGGCCTAGGGACCCCACCCATGCATGAATTCATGCACCGGGCCTCTAGTATTCAATAGTTTTATAAGTGACAATATGCCCAGTAATTCTAACTTCTTAGTGACTAGAGAGTGGGACCCCCACATCCTTGTCACCATTTGTGACAGTAGTCATTTCAGTGCACTGGTTCTTAGGCCACTTACATCACCCTGTTTTTCACTGGATTAACGTCGTATTTCACGGTATGCAGGACAACATTCTGAACCAAGAATATTGTATTATCAGTAGGTTGATACAGGAACACTCTCATCAAATAACAATTCAAAAGCCAGAAGTTTTTCAGACCTAGTTAGAGGTAAAAATGCTAAAATCAGTCACATGAGGGAAACATTCCTGTCTTCATTTAATTCATTTCCCACCACTTAAAAATACGAAGCACACAATTACCTAATATAATTTGAACAGATTTTATACTAAGGGGTTGGTAGTAACTCCACAGGATTTAATGCATTAATAAAAATCAACTCATCATTTTCTACGGACATGTTTTCAGTGTGTTAGAAATTATTACATGATTCTGCAGACGTGTGCCCTGCTTCAGACACTGTGTGTCAGGACTGAGTGCACCAAATGGAAGGAACTGCATGGAGGCATGTGCTCTGTTAATTGTAACAGCTACCAGTTCGTCACCACTACCCTTTCCTTCTGCTGTGTATGGTTATGGCTTACAATGTTGTATTTGTTATTTATCAAGTTGTGATAGTTTTATTATTGTTTATGCCCGATGCTAATTGCCAAGCTTGGAGTAACCTACAGCGTTTTTAAACAGCATGGCTAGATTTACTTTGACAGAAATTATCTTAGGAAACCATATTTGAAAATGCACAAGTGTTGACTGTTCTAAAGTAACATACTGCTCATCTTGATTATCAGAGCTTGTTAGCACTTAGGATGCTACTATTATTGTAAAAGCTTAATAAATCCTGTGTGCCAATAGTGTAGGTCTCGATATTACCATCAGACCGTGGTGTGCAAACAGCTTGTTGTATTAAGTCATCAATGGGTGTCTCTGCTTTAAGTCATTGCTTAATGGGATCAGGCTAACGTATTATAAATTATTTCCTTATAGAGAATTTAAGGCGAAGGCCATTGCAGCATTGTCCCAGAGGAGGAGATCTGTAGAAATATGTTTCTTCTTTAAATAGAAATATTGTGGCTACTTGGCATAACTGTTAAGTTATATTTTTCTACCAACTATGTCAACTTTAATTTTTTTTATCACAATATCTTTTCATTATATTGTTTCTTGAGCATCCCGCTGTTACTATCTTTTCAACAAGGCAAAAAGGAGTAGGTATAAAGGCAATTTTTTTTAGTGAAATATCCTCCAGTCTCTTTAGCTTCTGCAGAGAAGGGATAGAAATGGGGGTAGAAATGGGCTGGGTGTTAGGGGTGTAGGCGATGGCTATGAAAGGAGAAATCAGAGAATCACTACACTTAATCTAAACATGATTTAATTTACTGCATAGTAAGTGGCCTCTTTAAAGAAGTAGTCAAAAGTAGGGGGAGAGTGAATTTAGAAAAATAGAGATGGATTTGGAAATATTCAAATAAAAGTGGTCTTTGTGAGGATTCCATGTTATGAATGCACAGCTCCCTCTGCTGTGTGTTGTGTTTGACACTAAGGAAACAGCAACTTGAGAGCAAACTCAGATATTCAAGGATTCAAGAAGCCTCTGAGAAGAAAATCACCTCTGAGTATCCCCTGCTTACAAAGGAACTGTCCTTGGTTTATGGAGTTTGTGGGAATAAACCAAGAATTCTTATGCTGATGAGACCAAAGTAATCACTGGAAAAGAGAACTCACTGGATTATCATCTCAGTAACGCAAACTACTGAAATAAAGGAAAAAGCATGTTTAATTTGGGTTCACTATTTCTGGATCTGTTAATCAAGAAATGCACACTGTCTATTTTTCTTTTGTATAGCATTTGAAAACAATAAAAAGTCTATACTTTGGGTTCGGGTCTTTTTGTGTATATCACCTGAAAGGCGGATAGCTGCTCTCCGGTCCCTCCACGTCCTGGACATGGAGAAGCACCAGCAGCAAACAAAACTGACCCAGTGAGTCCAGCTGGAGGCTGCATGCCGCCCACCCAGAGCCTTCCCGGGCGGACGTGCTGTGTGTGCGCCAGGGTGTGCGGGGGAAGGCCCTGTCAGCATCCCATCTATTTCTCTTTCAAAATCATTTGAGTTATAAGTGACATTTCAAAACGGCGCAAATTTAAATGTACAGTTTCATGTTTCAACATGTGTATACATTCACCTAATGGCACCACAATCCAAACAATGAACAGTATCCATTGTCCCCCTCACCAGTTTCCCATACCCTTCTGTTACCTCTCCCTCAGGCCCGTCTTAGCCCATCTCCAGCCAGTACTGCTTTGTGTCACTAGTTTGTGTTTTCTAGAATTCTTTAAAAATTGGATCATATTGTACACGTTTCTACAAAGCTCTGAAAACCCAGATAAAAAAATCATAATTTTGCCCTGAGGAGACATTTGGCCACTAGTGATTGTCCAATTGTGATTTTGATTAATTATAGGGACTATGTTAGGTTACATTGAATATAAAGCAGTATCATTTTTAAAAAAATATATTTTTTATTGATTTCAGAGAGGAAGGGGGAGAGAAACATCAGTGATGATAATCATTTATCAGCTGTCTCCTGCATGCCCCCTACTGGGGATCATGCCCTTGACCAGAATTGAATCCAGGACCTTTCAATCCACAGGCTGACACTGTCTACTGAGCCAAACCAACTAGGGCAAGCAGTATCACTTTTAAGTAAACCTGCAACCTTAGGTTTCACAATTTTTATACTGTGCTCATTCTGAAATCTAGATGAACCAAAATAAGGTAAACACAGAAATGGTAAGCCACCCGAGAGTGGGGTCTGCATATGCTTGTCACCTGCCAGGATTTCATATTTAGAGAAATGCTGTAAGGCAACTAAAATTCTTGCCAACTCTCAGATGTAATTTTGATGTTACTTAGTGAAGCTGGCTGATAGTGGTTATTTTAATGTGGTTTTCCTAGAATACAGCAAAAACCAATTTTATTGTTTGAATGTTTTTTAGTGGGTAATATTTTAACACTCCATTTGAACATGCTTTAAAGTCCCCCTCCCTTGGTTTTAGGCTTTAATCTCTGTTCTTATTTTTCACTTTGCCAATTTCCCAGTATTCCCTTCTTCCAACTCCTTAAATGTTATGCCTATTTCCTCTGATCTACATGAACTCCCTAGTGATCTTACTCATCTCTATGGCTGAAAAGACTCTTGAGATATTAATATCTCCCCATGGTATGGCTAGCCCTATTCTTTTATCCAGGTTTTCATGCAAGCTTAAGAGGCATGCATTCTAATCACCTCCATATCCACTGGTAGTCAATTGAATTTCCAGTAAGTGTTGGGCATTGTATGTTCATTTCCCTTAATATTTTACTCAAGAATGTGGCTTCATCACCTTTCCATAGATGACGTCACAGCCAGGGGATGTGGAGCCAGGACTTAAACTACTTTCTATTCACTTTCCTTGCCATCGGCCATTTCTAAAGTTTTTACAAAGGATAGCAACTACTTGCAAACGATAGGGGGGAAAGGCCTATATGACAAAGAAGGTGTGGTTCAAGGGAAAGAGCAGGACCAGAATCTCTGGGCCATGAAGACACTGCATCAGAGCTGGTGTTACGGTTGGTGCCTGAACAGACAAGGACTGTGCGGATACCTCCTTGCTGATAAGCCCAGTTGTCTCATTTGCTGCTCTGTTGCTGAACCAAAGGCAGAGAACTTAGCATAACTTGAAATCAGCTGATACAAACTCACCCATATATTAAAAACTTGAAGATTTATCCCAAAATACCTGTTAGAATCCTTAAATAATTTATCATCTGGCTGAGGCAGGACAGGAACACAGTACATCTGTTATAAGAGCTGGGATGTTACTGATGCCATTTGTCCTGTAGATAGTGATGTAGGAGGTTTACACACACTTCCTTAAGTTTAACATAGGGTCTAATTTGGTTTAACAGCAAGGGAATCAAATTAACATTAAACTGGGTTCATTTTTTATTTATTGATTTCAGAGAGAAAGGGAGAGGGAGAGAGAAACATTAATGATTGACTGCTGGCCGCCTCTTACAAGCCCCCTGCTGGGGATGGAGCCCGAAATCTGAGCATGTGCCCTTGATGGGAATTGAACCTGAGACCTCTCAGTCCACAGGCTGATGCTCTATCCACTGAGCAAAACTGGCTAGGGCGAATTATGGGTTCTTAAGATCACAGTCCAATGCTCATTATAAGTTACCACACATCTCCCTGAAGTAGAAGGAAATAGCAACAGCCATACAGAATAATGCAAAGATGTCTTATGCAAGACTCAAGTAATGGCAAGGGAAATGCATGGTTTAAGGGCCCTGAAGGAAAAACTCACCTGGAGTGGAATTTATCTTAAGCCCCTTAACTGAGTTTGTAAGGATTACCTTACAGTTGGCTAACAGTAAGTCTGTAATATGCGATTCATACAGTTACGCACCATTCCAAGGTTAGCTTACTTCTGTTTTGTATTTTGTCTGACCATGCAATTGACAAGAACATAAAGGCGCTATTAAAGTAGAGGCTGTCTCACATGAAAAACCCTCCTGCCAAAGTGCCTGCAAATGAATTGGGAAGGGCGCTTGCCGTCTCCTCTCAAAATAATCACATATAAGTAATTACATAACTAATTAATATAAGATTGTTGGGTAGAAGATGGCTGGGCAGCTTAATTTGTCAACATTTATTCAATATGGTATTGGGCTCGGTTTTGAAGAGTGTGGGCAAAACCTGTGGATTAACACTGGGGAAGAAACACGGAGAAAAATCACGAGCGAGGGTGAGGTGGGGCCTCTGGGAAGATTCGAGTTTTTTTATTTTTTTAAATATATTTTATTGATTTTTCACAGAGACGAAGAGAGGGATAGAGTTAGAAACATCAATGAGAGAGAATCATGGATCAGCTGCCTCCTGCACACCACCCACTGGGAATGTGCCCACAACCGAGGTACATGCCCTTGACCGGAATCGAACCCGGGACCAGTCCGCAGGCCGACACTCTATCCATTGAGCCAAACCGGTTTCGGCGATTCGTGTTTTTTTAAACTAACGGCATCAGGCAGAGACCCAACTGGGCGCAGGATTTCACTAAGGTCTGAGGCTGGCGTCGGCCGTCCAACTGCGAAAAGGGGGCGCAGACGCTGAACAGAATTGCTGTAAGTCAACTCTATGGGGTATTAAGAGGTGCCGAGTGGAACAGCGAATACCCGGGGCCCCACTACTGGGGTTCCAAAGAAGACCTGAAGAGCGGGGGGACGAGCCCTGCGGCCCCCCGGGCACACGCGCAGGCGGCGGGACGGCATTTGCAGCAGGACAAGGCCCCCGGGGTACCCAGGAGGGCGACGAAGAACGCTTCCCCCGCTGAGCGAAGCGGCCCGCGGCCCGCGGCCCGCACCGGGCCTCCAGCGCATGCGCAGCCTTAGTGCGGAGCGGTCGGTGGGCGGGACGACGGAAGCCCCGCCCGTGACCTGCGCGCGGGCGGCGAGGTCGAAGGTCAGAGTTCGGTCTGGAGCCGTCATGGCCGCGCTGTGTCGGCTCCGTGCCGTGACTACCGGGAGCCGTTTCCTGCGCGTGCTCTTCTTCTCTCGGTCCTATGGAGGCTCGGGCGCTGAGAGCGGCCCCGGGAGCCAGAGTTCCGAGTCCACGGAGGACACAGCGCGCCCAAGCGGCTTCGCGAGCGCCCTGGAGCGGCACTCAGAGTTGCAGCGGAAGGCGGAGCTCGGGCCGTCGCGGGTGAGTCAAGGGAGCTGCGCCAGTGACGTGGAGGCGGGGCCTAGGTGGGGTCGGGGCCGAGCCTGGGGTGAGGGCCGGGCCTGGCGCAGGGAGTGGAGCGCGGAGCCCGGGATGGGGTGTGTCCTGAGATTACAAGATGAATAAAATTCCTCTTTATTGTGTGGTTGAGATGGTCTAGGCCGGGCCTGGGGGGGAGGGGGCCCCGGCGCGGGGAGTGGAGCGCGGAGCCCGGGATGGGGCCCGGGCTGAGGCCCTGGGCGGGGCCTGGTGTGGGGAGGGGAGCGCGGAGCCCGGGATGGGGGCGGGGCCTGGTGTGGGGAGTGGAGCGCGGAGCCCGGGATGGGGCCGGGGCTGAGGCCCTGGGCGGGGCCTGGTGTGGGGAGTGGAGCGCGGAGCCCGGGATGGGGGCGGGGCCTGGTGTGGGGAGTGGAGCGCGGAGCCCGGGATGGGGGCGGGGCCTGGCGCGGGGAGTGGAGCGCGGAGCCCGGGATGGGGGCGGGGCCTGGCGCGGGGAGTGGAGCGCGGAGCCCGGGATGGGGGCGGGGCTGAGGCCCTGGGCGGGGCCTGGTGTGGGGAGTGGAGCGCGGAGCCCGGGATGGGGGCGGGGCCTGGGGGCGGGGCGTGAAGCCCAGCTGGCTTGCTTCTGGGCCCTCTGGCACTTTGTTTTTTTTAAAAAAATATATATATATTTTATTGATTTTTTACAGAGAGGAAGGGAGAGAGAGAGAGAGCTTGAAACATGGATGAGAGAGAAACATTGACCAGCTGCCTCTTGCACACCCCCTACCGGAGATGTGCTGGCAACCAATGTACATGCCCTTGACCGGAAACGAACCTGGGACCTTTCAGGCCGCAGACCAATGCTCTACCACTGAGCCAAACCGGCTTCTGCGCTCTGGACACTTTGAACAGAGCGCGCGCTGTTGTAGTTTCTGCGCAGCATTTACGTGCTAGACCTTTGCGCTGCCGTCTGATGCGGTCTAGGGCGACCCCTGGACTTGAATGCGAATGGGACTCACGCCAGAGAGGCTGGGCTCTTTGTATTAGCTCCAGTGAGATGCTTGGTGCCTGGCGTGCAAGGTTCTTCATGTTTGTTAATTCAGTGGGTAGGTGAATGAGAGAATTAGTCTCTATGAGCTTGGGCAAAGCAATCTAAGCTGTCAGGGCCTCACTTTTCTGTAAATGACAAGAAAAAAATTCCCATATGACTCAGGCAATACTTTCATAAATACGATAGAATTACTAGAGAAATGAAATGGAAGAAGTAAACATAAATGTAAACCAGACTTAAAAAATTATTAGATTAAGCAGACGTGAAATTGGATGTCTGGCAATGTTAAGTGTATGTATATGTATATGTGTGTGTGTGTGTGTGTGTGTGTGTGTGTTTTATATATATATAAAACAACCTCAGTTTCTGTGTTATCTCTTTGGGTCCAGTACCAAATAGCTCACATACAGATTGGTGGTGTCCTGGATTATAGGAGAAATGACCGGCATCCAGCATAGTGCTGACTCTCAGTCTGTGAGCTGCCAATGTTTGCTGAAGGGATGAATGAATGAATAGTATACATAGTGCATATTTGAACTTGAATTGAGATATTTGTGTGACTGCTGAAAAACAGTTGTGCAAGTGCGAATAGTACAGTTATGAGCTCATCCAAAATAATAATTGATCAAAAACAGTTGTAAGAGTAATAAGGTAACTGAACATACACTTGTTTGGATTTTAACGTTAATTGGAAGTGCGTTCCTGACATGTTTATGATGAGGAATATGAGCAGTTATTAGGTGTTGAGAGTCAACTTTGTGCAAGGGCTTTCACTTTACTTTTTGAAATTTCAAGACCTTTTTAATTGAAGAGTGTCCTGAGATTACAAGATGAATAAAATTCCTCTTTATTGTGTGGTTGAGATTTTTTTTAAAAATTCTTTATTTTTGGAAGTATTACAGGTGTCCCCCTTTTTCCCCCATTGACTCCCTCCAGCCTGTCCCCCTGCCCTAACCGCCCCTTTAGCAATATCCAGTAGAGTGGGTCTGAGGGATGCACCCTAAGGCCACAGGTAGCCTGAGACTCAGTGTGCCCATCCAGCGGCTGAGTCAGGGATGGGCCCACCAACTGCTTTCTCCTCCCGCCCTTGCAGGTCACCTGCAACTACAAGCATCCGAGAGCCTCAGTGTGCAGGCAGCCACCTGTGGACAGCTGGCTCCGCCTGGTGGGCTCTGTGGTCAAGATTTTTTTGGGGGAAAAAATTAAAGTTTACTAACTAATATTTGCTTACTTTAAAAATAAAATAGCACTGAAAGTTATTGTGGGATATGTAAAAGCTCCCTTTTCTCTTTTACTCATTTTCTCAAGGCTAGAGGGTGTATTGTTTAAAATTAAAAAAATATTTTGTTCTTTTTAAAATCTTTATTGTTGAGAGTATTACACTAATGCTTCCCCCCCCCCCCCCCATTATCCGCCTCCACCTTGCTCCTGCCCCACCCGAGGCCTTCACTACCTTATTGTCTATGTCCATAGGTAATGCATATATGCATATAAGTTCTTTGGTTAATCTCTTCCCATCTTCTCCTCCCCCCTTCCCTCTGAGATTTCTCAGTCTGTTCCATGTTTCCTTTGGTTCCATTTTATTTATCAGTTTGTTTATTAGATTCCTTGTTTGTTTATTTTGATTTTTAGATTCAATTGTTTATAATATGTATTTATTAGAGGTCCAGTGCACGAAATTAGTGCATGGTGGTGGGGAGGCTTCTATCCGCTTGCGCCCTCTCGTGGTCTGGGACCCCTCCAGGGATGTCCGTCTGCTGCTTAGGCCCGATCCCCACTGAGTGGGAGCACACTGACCACCAAGGGGCAGCCCCAGTGTTGATCATCTCCCTGGTGGT